AGCAGCATCTTCCTCATTTCACCTGTGCTGTTTAACAACCTGCTCCCCCAAATAAATCACCCACTACTTAAAAACAAATATTTAAAATACCCGATACTTCAAAATTATCAAATACTACTCAAAGATGTAATTGCCAGAACAAAACATAGACTAATAATATGAATAAAAACATTAAGAAAGACACTTAATGAAATGCATGCAACCTATTATTTTAGTGTACTTTTCAAAAGATTATTGGGATTTTATCAGGAGGTAGTTTCTGGATTTTCTTACTTTTAAGATAATTTCAGTATTTAAGTAGGCCAGACATTTCAAAACATAACTAAAATATAATTAAAACATAAAAAACAAATATAAAACACTGGAGCCCAGAGCAGTGCGAGGTACTTAAAGTGGTACTTAGAAGAGAATTTAGAGCCTTAAATGTATAGTCTACAGTAGAAGAGAGGTTGAAATTAAGAAGACATGAATCTATTTTTAAAATTTAGAAAAAAATGTAGCAGTGAAAGAAAGTCAAAGAAAATAAATAATACATATAAGACTATAAATCAATGAGAAAAATACAATAGATAAGATAAAGTAAAACAATGTTTTTTTGCAATGATTAATAAAATTGACTAATAAACGTTCCTGGTTTACTAGATTAAGAAGAAATGAAAAAAGTACAAATTATAGCTGAAAGAAAAGCAACATAAATTTAAGCATTGCAGACATGAAATATTTGAGAGTATTATGAATAAATTTGTTAATAATTGTGAACACTTAGGGCAGTCCAGGTGGCTCAGCAGTTTAATGCAGCCTTCGGCCCAGGGCCTGATCCTGGAGACCCGGGATCGAGTCCCATGGCAGGCTCCCTGCATGGAGCCTGCTTCTCCCTCTGCCTGTGTCTCTGCCATTCTATCTCTCTGTCTCTCTCTCTGTCTCTGTCTTTTTCTCTCTGTGTCTGTTATGAATAAATTAAAAAAATAAAATAAATAAATATAAAAAAATAATTGTGAACACTTAGATGTAATGAATAAATTGCTGGAATATAATTAATTCCAGGAGAAATAGACAATTAACTAGTACTATAACTAGTTAAAAAGTTTAACCTAGTAGTTAAAAATCTTTGGTCCAAGAAAAGTCCAGGTTCAGATAATTTCACCTACCAGGTTTCCATAATTATTAACAAATAAATAATTCTCATATACAAGAAATTACAAAGTGTATAAAAATATAAATTATTACTCAAGTAATTTATGAGGCTATCATTACATTGTTACCAAAACTTGACAAAGAATCTATGAGAAAGAAAAACTTGTGTCCTATATTCACTCATGAATAATGACTTAGAAATGCTGAATAAAATATTAGCAAACAAATCCAATAATAAATAAAAAGACAGATCAAATGTAGAATTGTTAAGTTTGATTTCCATTACAAAATCAATAGAAATAATTTACCCAAATAATAGATTAAAGGAGAAAAGTTATCTTATTGTCTATTTCAATAGATCAAACAAAAAACCTTAACTTTCACTTAGGTTTAAACAAAAATAAAGCAAAATCTCAGCAAACTAGCTCCAGCAATCATAATAAATGTATTTTCATTAAATACAGACATAAAATCTTTAAGTACATGTCTAATTTGCTATAGTGAGAATTATAACAAGTCAAGGGTTGCCACCAATAACCACTATTCACCATTACACTGGAATACTCAGTAAGTGCAGTAACTAGAACTGAACAAAAAAGAATGAGAATTATAAGATCTAGAATCTAAAAAAATAAGCACTGTCATTACTTGTATATATAATGAGTGTCTACACTGAAAATTCAAGCTAACCTATAGGTAAACGATTATAATTAATAGAAGAGTTTAGAAAGTTTTCTAAGTTCAAATAAATATTATAATTTATTAACATTCTATAAACCAGCTACAAACAATGTGGAATTTCAATAAAATCAGTAACACATACAATACCCATATAATGTTAGTTTTCTAGGAATAACACTATAAAAAAATCTGAGAGTAAAATTATAAACACATCTCTAAAGACAATAAATAAGTAGCAAATAAATATAATATATGCCATAGAATGTACGATTCAATATTGAAAAATAGTCAACTCTTAATTTAATTAACCTCTACCCCAGAACCATTTACAAAAATATTTATAGCAACGTTATATATAACAATGAAACCTGGGAACTTCCGAAATGCCCATAAAGAGGAAGAATGTTGTAGAAAACCAAACAATGGTAGAAATGAATCAACTAGAATTGCACATATTGACAGAAACGAATCTCAGAAATAATTTTGAGTGAAGGAAGAAAGTCATAAATTATTATTCAATTTTTAGATTAAGTCCAAACACAGGAAAAATGCAACAGTATTTTTTAGGTATACATAAATAGGTAGTAAAAAAAAAAACTACACAGGTGATCTTTTCCCATGGCTTAGATACAAAGATCAAGGATGTTTATTCTGATTATGTCCTTGCTTGTATGTTTGTGTATGTACAGTCTTTTTATTTATGTTCTATCTTATATAATTTAAAAAGTGATGAATTTTAGTCTGTTTTGTTTGTCACATATCTCCAGATCTCCAGTGATTCATATAACATCTTAGCATTTAAAAGTTTTTTAACTCCATAGAAAATTTATGCTTTAGAAAATTTGTTGTTACCAATTTTTTTTTGTAGGTCAGTTTTCCCTTGACCCAAATAAGATGATGACCTCAACAGTATGTTTATACAGGAGGCAGAAAGAGTTCTTTTTTAAAAAAAATATTTTATTTATTTATTTATGAGAGACACAGAGAGACGAGAGAGAGAGAGAGAGAGAGAGAGAGAGAGAGACAGAGAGACAGAGAGACAGAGAAGCAGAGGGAGAAGCAGGCTCCGTGCAAGGAGCCAGATGCAGGACTCCATCCTGAGACTCCAGGATTACGCCCTGGGCCAAAGGCAGGCGCGCTAAACCACTGAACCACCCAAGGATCCCCCAGAAAGAGTTATATGAAGCAGAAATATATGTGAAGTATTGGATTTTGTATCCAAAACTCATCAACACAAGTGAAAGTTAGGCATACCAAATCAAGTTAAAGAAACTTAGAGGAAATAATAATTATAGTTATCAGAGTTTATAAGTTTATCATATGTTCAAATAATTGGCCAATTACTTTAGATATATCATCTTTAATCCTTACAGCAATTTTGCAAAGTATAACATCAGAAAGATAAATTCATTTGTCACTTACTTAGCTCATGTAAAGAAAAGTTAGAATCTGAACCCATGTGTCTCTCCCTTGCACATGTTCTCTTGTCATTACTCCGTATTGCCCAAATATTATTATTTAATGTCTGAAAGTGGTGTGTAATGGAACATGGTAAGACCTGATTTTTAATCTTGCTCTGCTAATTATTAGCAGTTTGACCTTGGAGAATATTTAATGAATTCATAAGGACTCACTTCCATATTTTTCTTTTCTTTTTTCTTTCTTTTCTTTTTTCTTCTCTTTCTTTCTTTTTCTTTTTCTTTCTTTCTTTCTTTCTTTCTTTCTTTCTTTTTTCTTTCTTTCTTTCTTTTTTCTTTCTTTCTTTCTTTTTCTTTCTTTTTACAAGTTGGTGATAATAATACCTATTAGAGTCATTTTGAGGATTAAATAAAAGGCATGTGTAAAGTGTCTAGTACAAAATATCTATTCAATAAATTGCACTTTCAGTTGATTAATTTATGTGAACATCTCCAAAAAGTTTCAGCATCCTGGGGTTAGAAAGAGACAGGGCTGATGGAGCAAAGAGAAGAAAAAGATAAGGGAGCTGGAAAAGTGAGGATGCTGGTAAAGAACTCACTTTCTTAATAGTTCACGGGGTCATGGTCAAGATGGGGAGACAATGGATCCTAGAAGAGGTTGGTTCTCTGACAAATAGAGAAATCCTTGGGATGAGCAACTTCAGTGAAGTTGGGAGGACAGAGGAGCTTTATTTAGAGAAAAGGAATGGAAGAAGAAAATGAGGGAAGACTATAATTAGGTCAGTCACAACCAACCCAGAGCAAAGAACAGTTCACAGCCTGAACAACTGCATAACTAGTTAAATACTCTCACTCCAGTTTTCCTGATGGCATCAGCTATGAGAAAGTTTCACCAGGAGGACCTCATATTGTGATTAGTCATAGTTTTGCTGCTGATTTGACTTGGAATGCAGTGTCTCAGTGCTGCTCAGATGTCTTTATCAAACAAGAGCTTCTCTATTTCTATGACATCTTCACTATGAAAAAAAAAAAAAAAACAGAGATCCTCCAGCTGAGTAAAAGCATATGGACTTTCTACCATATGCTACTTATGTTAGCTTGATTTCTAATTATATACCTTTCTGAATCCCTGTTACCAACAACATAATTTTACAATCTTTTACAAAGACTGATTTTTCCAGCTGCTTTTACCAAGAAGTACAATGAGTACATTGTTTTCTCTATGTAGCCCAAAACTAGGATTCTGCTGCAATATATACAGACCTAGTTGATTTTTTTTAATTGACTAGCCTGTTTGCTCAAGTATTGCCAACCTCAGGTCCCCAGCTCCTGTGATCCACCAACTTGCTGTACCCCCACCAATGCCTAGAATTGTCGTACCCCCTCGTTATTGTGCATTGTCAGTTAGATATACCTCAGCCGTAACAGATGAATCAAGCTCAAGACAGATGTTTACTAAGTCAATTAAGTCTCACTGATAAATCTCAAAGTCTGCCCAGAAATTATTAAAAAGTAGTTCAGAAATATGAAGTATAGATTTCTAAAGCTTGTATGATCTCTTCTTCAGCTAATACTGTAAAGGCTATTCATTATTTGTTTTATCTTTGAAATTTGAAATTGTTTTAATTCTGCCCAGCATTGACTCCAATATCCCCGCAAGACATACCTTACTATATGCAGAAGAAATGCTAATTAAAGATCCTTTAGGTGACAAATGAGATACTTCAGTAAGTAAAGTAGCACTTTGGCTTACACTGAACTTCATACCTGAGCGCATAGCCTCTTTCTGAATGCTTTCATAGTCATGCCAGTCCTTTCTTCTCAAACCATCTGTCCATGCATAGAATTGCCCATCTCCCAGGCCCAGTGGAAATGTCTGTGGAAAAGGAAAGCATTCAGAGCATAAAAAGGAGGTATTCCTTTTGCATGGCAGATAAACGCAGCCGAGTACATAATAGGCAATCAAAGAATATTTGTTGAATAAGTGATTCTTCTACTTAATACTGAAAAGAAAGCTATTCTAGTGACAAGATAAATATACATTTTAAAACCCTTTTCCAGCTTTTAAAGGAAAAGCATGGGTCACCCACAACCCTTACCATTTCCTACTTTGTTTCATCCAGAGACATTAATACTCAGTGTATCACCTCCTCTGAGCACAACCCTAGTAATGGTATTAAATGGAGTTAATTTTGTTTGTGATTTGTACAGTTTCATTCATTTTGATCAAGTATATTTGAATGACCAGATAATGATATTAGCAACCATTCACTGAATGCGCACTATAAGCCAGACACTATGTTATTTATACTCTGTATAAATATAGTTTAATCTTTATGATAGTCTTTGATTGTAAGTCTCCCTCTTTCTGCCAGTTAAAATAAGACCCAGAGAACTAAAATAATTTGAATTAAACCACAGTGGCAAAGTCAGGACTTGGAACAGTTCTGTTAAGACCAGAGTTTTGTAGTCTTAACAACTATTAATTCTATCTCCCATCTAGATTTCTGTTAAAGTATGGTACATGGTTACACTTGCAGTTGAAATTATCACCTACTCAACAACTGTAGTCACAGCATATGTTTTATGTTTTGGCAAAACCCAATGTGTTCCAATGTCAACTTGAAAATTATATTTGTATGCATTGCTAAAACTACTTTTTTTGGTGTTTGTTTTTGGTAATAAGAAACATGTTTTGAATGAAATTTATTTTCACAATCTTAATACTCAACATAATGTAAAATGTTCTCATAATCACATACCACTTTTCTTTTATTTGGTTTATTTTTTGAAATAAATAATACTCTGACAGAATGAAGAGAAAAAAAATTAAAGTTTAAATTTAGATACAACAGAAGTGAATAATTTCAGTAAGGAAATTTTATTCTAAGAGGATTTCCAAGTCAAATAAAATGTCTTATTTCTTAGTTTGAAACAGTATAACTATTGTGCTTATGAAAAATTATCTCAGTCCATCTTTGTAGGTTACAAAGGAGCCACTTATTTGAAAGGATGAAAATGGAGCTTGACGTTTAAAAAAAGTACTTAAAATCAGAAGAAAGATTTGCCAAATTGACTATTATCTATATATTTAAATGAATTTGCTACAAGAGTGGTGATTTCAAGAAAATGAAAATAATAGAGAAATAAACATACAAGAATGATGATAAGTTTATATAAAATATTAAAGATAGTAAGAATACATTTTATAAAGAGGATGACAAGAAAAGCTATAGAAACGTTAACATAAAAGAATACAATAAAATAGAAGAAAATGGGAATAATAATTTTGGACAGAAATTTGGGCTTATAATAGCAAACATTAGAAAAAAATGTCATGCATTTGACATTGATTTCTTAATTAGAAATTTTACCAAAACTCAGCTGGGAATCAGAAATTTTAAATAATTAAATAGCTTTAAAATACAAAACTTGTATTTTGCCTCAAACTTGTATTTATAATAATAAATACTGCACAATAATGAAAATCTCTTACACTGATTTAGATAATACCAATTTATAAACATCACTTTCAGATTAAAATAATTTCAAAATAAATCCTGACATTAAACATGGAGATATTCTTGTGTAAACTCCAAATATACAAAACTCTCCAAACCTATTGGTTCACAAACAGGCCCCTGAACATGGAGGGCAAGGAGAGACCAAGGGAAGAGGCAGGCCCCTCTGGTATGGTGGGAGACAGGTGGAATAAGCAAGGGAACTTACATATGAAGCTTCTCTGGGGCACCACAAGACAAGTAGATCCCAGCACAGGCCCACTCGAATCTTCAAAGTTTATGTAGAGGCCTTAACTGGGTTCAGTCATATATGCAGTCCAATACTTTCAACATCTTACTCCCTACTCCTTCAAGGGTGTTGTTTTAAACAGCCTAGTTGTGGGAATACTAAGTGAATTATATGTTTCAAGGATGAGGAAGGGGTGAGGAGCCTCTGATTGCCCCAGACCCATTCTCCTGTTGGCTGGTGGTCATGTCCTCATGACGATCCCCTACCATCTTGGCCAGCTCCTACCATCTAGCACATTCCCCCTCTTCTGCATGTACCCTATGAAGTCATCAAGGGTTTTATTAGCATGAAAGTGATTAATTTGGTGGCTATCTGTCTGCATTTGACGCAGAGGTCACAGCAACAACATAGGCACATAACAAGTGAAAACACAGGTTAAGATAACGATTCCCAAAATAAGTAACATTTTTTTCTTTCAACCAAGAGCCCCATGATCACAACCATTGATTTACGAAGTCCTCTAGGCTGGGGGTTAGATTACTCGGGATGTTTACTTGTTTCCTCGTATGATTTAATAAAGATGATATGTTAACAGACTCATCAGGTGTGAACACACAGTCTGTTTGGATAATGGCATGGTGCTTCCTTGCAAGGCAGTAATAGTGTCCAAGGCCATACTATTTTGTAAGACAGTTTTTCTTATTTGAGACATTTCAGTATTCAGTAATACTGTTGGCTATCCGTTAAGGCTTGCTGGGTGAATTTAGTAAGGACTTCTATGTATGCTACAGGGCCCTTCAGACCAACAGAGGAAACAAAGATGGTGGTCAAAGGACTATACCATCAGAAAACAGAACATGCCTACCTGGCCCTGAAGAAAGAGAGGTGGCATCTTTAGGGACTTGATCTGGCTGTGCATGTCATAGGAGACAGCACTGTCAGGCATGAGGAGTTGGACTGAGGAATGGGATATACCAGACCAGAACCCTCACCTGCTTCCCTCTTTTGATGGTGCCTGTTCTATTCCAGGCATACTGCTTTTCAATAGATCTAGATTGCAGCAGGACAATGAGATCCCGGTGGAGACTGATTAGCTTCCCCTCACCCAAAGGTGCTAAGTAACTCACACATCCCAGTAGGATATCTCATTGCAAATTCCAATAGATAATTCCTTTCCTAGGTATGATGCTCAGCAGCATAGCATGTTGATTCCACAGCTTCCAAATACAAATACAAAGCTATACAAATACCTTATAGTATTTGGTGCCTTGGCAGGGGTCTCTAGTCTGGCATATGGGGCAGTGGGGCCTACTGGCTGACCATAAAAATGTACTGAAGTCTTGACAATACTTTAGTCTACCTGGCCAAGGTGGTTTTGCCTCTTAATAATTTAAACTGCTGTTTTAATATTCCATTTTTCCTTCTTACTACCCCTACTGTTTTAGGGTTATAGAGGAGATGAGATCTTTATTCAATGCCATGTTCTTTTTTTTTATTTTTTTTTTAATTTTTATTTATTTATGATAGTCACAGAGAGAGAGAGAGAGGGGCAGAGACACAGGCAGAGGGAGAAGCAGGCTCCATGCACCGGGAGCCCGACGTGGGATTCGATCCTGGGTCTCCAGGATCGCGCCCTGGGCCAAAGGCAGGCGCCAAACCGCTGCGCCACCCAGGGATCCCTCAATGCCATGTTCTTTTCCTCATTTTTGCACATCATGACCTTTGAAATGTAACCCCCAACCACCATCTACTCAACATGGGTATCCATGCATGATACTCAGCTTCTCTAATCACCTAACAGTGGCAGCCTGGTTTGCACAGTGACAGAGGGAAGCTAAGGTTAAGCCAGAGGCAGTGTCCTCACAAACCAAAATATGTTTAGAAGCCCCTCAGAGGGAAGGTCCCAAAATTTGCTAATATCTCACTGGGAATGCTGTTATTTAGGGAATCTGCCCCAGACTCCTTTGGCAGTTGCCTTCAGCATTGTTTAGACCACACATAACATGCCGTTACTGCATTAAACAAGTCACTGTATTTCAAAGGTAATGTGTCATCTTCAGCAATATACCATCCCACCCAGGCACTATGGCAGTTGCTCTTTCTATGCAATTAAGCTGCTTGTCTACTAAAGGTTTGGTTTATGGCTCATACCTAAGCCTGGACATCAGCTTCCTGGTTGCCAGGGGTTGTCGGTGGCTTTATGAATCTAGATACAGAAGGCAGTGAGGTTTCCCTCAGGCTGTTGCAGGCAAACCCAAATGTGTTTCCCCATATCCTGACCCCACAAGGGCTTATTCGTGATCATCCACCCCTCAGGTTTCCATTGTCCAGGCTAAAGGGTTAATCCCTTTTGAACAACCCAATTGTCAGTGCAAAGGGCTACAGGCCCACCCTCATAAGTGATCACCTGCCACACTGCTCTGAGTTTAGCCTAATGGATGCTATAATTCATTCTTGTTTCCATCCAGATGGTGTCAGGGTTGGACTGTATAGCAACTGCAGCCTCTGGGTGGATAGCCCTGACTAGATCACCCATTGGGAATTTCTCCTGTTCCTTCTCTACAGGCCATCACAGCCAACACAGGAATAGGGGCAGGGGCATTTGGAGGATCTGCATCCTCTGCAGCGCCTAGTAACACCTGCATTCCTAAGACATGGTGCTCCTCTGCTATAAACAGCATGCCACTTAGTCAAAGTGGGAGTTGGAGAGGAGGCAGAAGTAGGTCAATAAAAACATATTCTCAACCCATCTGTTGACAGGAAGGAAAGTTCTTTACACACTGTGCTGTTCCTTTGTGAGAAGATTTATCTGGAGGAATGTTGCTAGGAACTACTGATCTGTGGGAGGTATATCAGGTTTCTGGTCCCTGCCAGGGTCTGAAATCCTAGGATACTTATTCTCCTCTTCTGCTATCTCTGCCATAGTGCCTAAGTCATATCTTTTAGAGTCACAGATCCATCTAACTAAAATGGTAGCCCTGCTTGGAAGATGCTCAAGCTTTAATCAGGTTCACTTGTTGCTTTGCTTTCTCAAAGGGGGCTTTTTGCTCTTATGCCCAGTCCCAAATGTGCCCTTGACCTACCAGGCAGTATAAGGGATGGAGGCGCTGTGCTAGGTGGAGAATA